TTAAGGGGAGGCAGCCTTGAGGCTTCTAGGATGAGGTCCAGGCGAAAAAAAAATCAGAAAACTCTCTAGTATGAGAGCAGAGCGTATAGAAAAAAGGAAGGTGCATTTGTATAGCTTGTATATGTGTTCACCCCCAACGCAGCATTTGTATAGCTTGTATATGTGTTCACCCCCAACGCAGCAATACCACCTCTCAGTTCTCCAGAAATTCAACCCTGCAGCACAAGCTTCACAGATTCAGCAGTTTGGGGCTGTCGCTTCCCCGGCCTGGAGAGTTGGAGGTGCCCCCTTCCTGTTAACAGAGCGGTTCTGCCTGGCCTGAGAATTGCTTGTTCTCACCTCCCCAGCTTCAGCCTTACACCAAGGCACGACTGAGACGTTCCTACAATACGTTTTGCCCAAAGAAAGAAGCCATGTGATGGCTTCATGTGATGGTTTCACACAACAGGCCAAGACAACATGCTGAGCCACGAACCCTCCCCAGTCGAACCTATTCCAGGGCAAACCCAGCCATTAAACTACCAACTCATTTCAAGCTGGTTTATTGTATGGTGCAAACCAAGCTTTTATTTTATTGTTCCTTTTATAAGGGTTCCCACCTCTACTATAACCCTTCTTTTGAGTAACTACCAGGATAGATGGAACACATTTTCTGCCGCTTTCCTTTTATCTGATTCAAATCCAAACATTACTAGCAAGGCATGAAATTGGTCTCCGAGACCGTGGTTACTAGGAAACAGAACTCAGGGTCTCCCGGTTTGTGGCCCGGTGCCTTAACTACTACACCAAATTGGCTCTTGAGTGCTATTAAGCTTGATCCATAGATGTAAGGCCAACTCTCCTCCTGTGTTTTCAGTTTTACAAAATTGTACAGTGTTGTGCATTCTGTGATTTGTTGTTATATTTGTGTTTTCTTTTTTACATCGCTGGTCTTGGACGGAAATAAAAACAGCTATCTAAAGGACCAGGATTCTAGTCCTTGTGTTCCAAGAGGTGAGGAAGAGGACATTCTGCAGCTCTCTGAGGACAAGTCTGCGCACATGTCCGTGGTTTGTGAAGAGACAGCACTGCCCACCAAGACGTGCCCGCAGGGCGGGGTCCATCTCTACCAAGAGCTCATCTTCAAAATAATGTGTTCTTGATCTTTTGGGATGTATTCTGCAATACCTGGAAAAGAGAAGTGCAAGCACGTTGCTGTAATGGAGGGGGAAGGAAGCAGGACCATCTGCAGGGCTGCTGCGAGGAATATTATTCTGGCTATCTGGCAGATAGTCACTCAGATCCGTTCCAACTGGGCAGGTCTGGACAGCCTCGTGATGCGTTCTGGGATGACTTTGACCCAGTGAGTCAAAGGAAGTGGACGGGGTCCTCTGGGCTGTCTATTCAGCCAGGCTGGGCCCACGCTGTGGTGTCGTCCTCTTGTCCTGCTGGGCCAATGTGGAGTTTTCCAAGGTGCCATCTTTGGGCACACCTACAGCTACCCACCCAACCTCCAGCCCTCACCTTGGTCCAAACTACTGTTCGGATGCCGGAGAATCTTCCAGTATTTGTGTTCGCCTTCCTGAATCTTCACCCCCATCACTCCAGTCAGCATTGGGCCAGAGAGAGTTTTCTGGGTCTCAAACCTGTTTCACCCCAAGAAAAGAGAACCAGCATCAAAGGAGGCCGGGCAAGGCATTGCCATGCTGTATCTAGAACAAATTTTTGCAGGAACGAGATGATCCAAATCACGAAGATGCCAGATTCTGAGAGTTTTTGTTCCAAAGGCGTCTCATCGCTGCAAGCGTTGATTAGTTTTATTTAAGTTCAGTTCTGTGGGCCTTTTCCTGCCCAGAGAAAAATGGGAACTGAGTAGGTGAGTGAGGCTGCTGCTAACTCTCGGATCGAGGTCTGCCCATCAGGTCACCCCAGTTCCCAGCATGTCTGAACTCAGTGCCCCTCCAAAGGATCTGGGTTTCTGGACCTACAATCTGGGCCGTGTTGGGAAAGGCTGCCTGTCAGCCCTTTGGGGTGGACTAGACTAGGAAACCAAGGTCATGTAGGTCAATACTACTTTATTGTAAAGCTAGTGTAACAGAATCTTGCAAGTGTGAATGTACTCCTCCCCTCCCTCCCTTTATCTTTGTGAGAACTAGGGAGGGTCTTGTCTGAGACGTTTACTCATGCCACATTCTCACTTGGACTCAGACCTCTTTTATCTAACCATTGTCTTGGCAATAACACTTCCTCCTATCTCTCAAGGCCATTCCCTCTATGTTGCCAGAGGACCAGAATAAAATAGGGCCAGTAATGGTTTTCTACATAATCCACCCAGATCTGTTGTGTAGCAAAGTTGCAAGTCCTGATCACTAACAAGAAACCAGTTCTACAGTGGTACCATGGACATGTACCAGAGATCCAGAGGAGCAATTGCCAAAATGTTGCCATTTTGTAGAATTGGTTTCTGGTTTGTTTGATGAGGACTACAAGAGATGTGTCACGTTTGGGGTTCTGCTTCCCAGCTATCAACAAAAACTGGTTCCAGAGAAATTGCACAAGTGAAGAAGGAGTGCACGTCACAATCTGGACTTTCTTTCATTGTTTCTCCCCACCACATTGCTCTGCTTTGCAGCTCACCTTCTCCTTCTCCTGATGGAAAATTAGCTCTCAAAACATGAGAAAGCAGCCGGGGAGAAACCAGCTTGCTTTTTAAAATCTGTGGCTAGATTCATGTAACACATGAAGCTATGATGCAGCAAGCTTGGCTTTGGCTTAGCATTACATGAGAATGCAGCCGGTGTAGTCTGTAAACCATGGCTGGCAAGTTGTGGTGAGAACCAACCCTTTCCGTTTGATTCAATCCCTCTTTGTCAGAAAGAATCATGGCCCTGCACAATGCGTGAACCCAGCAAGCCCAGAAGAATCGGTTAACAAATCATGTTTAACCACACCATGGTTTCAGTAAGTCATGGCTCTGTGTGTGTGTGTGTGTGTGTGTGTGTGAAACCAGTCCAGAGAATGACCAGGGATGGTCAAGACCCATCCATATATCAATGTATCATGAATGTACTCGATAGCCCAAGGAAAGCATTTCTCTCAGCTTAAGTTGCCCCCTCTTAGACCTGACTTACATTTCCATTATGACCAAGTTCTCGCCTGGCAGTAGGCTCAGCTCAACTGGAATGGGATCATCTCGGATCAGTATGTTGGGGAAAACCAAGCCATCACATCAAGGAGTGCCCGGTTCCTTTGTGGGGATTCTAGCCTTAGGGTTGAGTTAGGTGCCATGCCTTTAGGTGCCAAGGCAGTGATCTCGCCCCATTCTCTTGCCAAGCTCCCCTTGGCCACCCTCGATCAGATTTGCCCAGAAAGCCTGAGAACAAGGCGCTGACCTCAAAGGCTGGAGACCATCTTTGGTTGCAGCTTCCAGCACATCCAGGAGAGTCGAGCCCAAGGGGACTTCCACGAAGTGGCTGTACAGTAACTGCGAGGCCTTCCTTGCCTCCAGCCTGACAGAAATATTCTGTGTTCGGTCAATCCCCTGAGGTTTCTGCAGTGAAGCATCAGGGATCAAGTTCTCTGTGAAGAAAGAAGGAAGGAGAATCAGGAGCCCAAGCCATTTCCTGGGGAACCCTTCTAATCTTCATAACCTTTGGAGGGATCTCGTTCAGATAGACTTGGAAGCAGCACATCTTGGTCCCCTGGCTCTGAATTTCAGAGGGAAGCCATCAGCATTCTGCTCATTCATTCATTCATTCATTCATTCATTCATTCATTCATTCATTCATTCATTCAATT